GCTATATTATTATAAAAAGCAGTATCAGCAAAGTTACCAAATGCTCTGTTTTATAGCAAGCTATAATAGTCCTGAGACTAATACTCGAGACTAGTCATAAAATTCAAGGAGCTAGAAGAAATCCTTGCAATTCTCTTAATAAATCCATTTTTATCATTAATTCAAATATATCATAAAAGGTTTGAACTTTGATACCCATTACTCCTTCAAAGTAGAGTTAAAAGGAATTAAAGAATATGTAAAAATTGAACTAAAGTTTTGTGCCTTTCCAGGGGCATCCAAATGTCTTGGCATAGGTGTGGCAGAGATACATGTCCAGTTTTTGCTCCCATTAAGTCCGTCAGTAGCTTCTCTAGGGAACCCTGGTCATTCTTCACCTTTATGGCGTTTCTCTATGGGCAATCTCTTGTCTCTAGTTTGTAGGCTTCATGTGGTGTGTGTGTGTGTGTGTGTGTGTGTGTGTGTGTGTGAGAGAGAGAGAGAGAGAGAGAGAGAGAGAGAGAGAGAGAGAGCATGTGTGTGAGTGGGTGTGGGCGTGTGTGTGGGTGAGAGAGAGAGAGCATGTGTGTGAGTGTGTGTGTGTGGGTGTGGGTGTGGGTGTGTGTGGGTGTGTGTGTGGATGAGAGAGAGAGAGAGAGAGAGAGAGAGAGAGAGGGAGGGAGAGAATGTGAGTATGTACTGTGTGTGTGAGACATTTATCTCCTCTGTTAACAGCCCCTTCCCTACAATGCCACTAGAGGCAGCTTTTCTTGCACAGAGCCGCCACCATCACTCTGACTGAAAGCTGTCCCTGTGGCCGTGCACCTCTCTCTTCTATCTGCGTTCTCCTCTGAGTCAGTGCTCCCCAGTGTGTTTGTCCCGGCAGCTTTGACAAGTCCTAAGCACCACCCAGTGTGTCCAGACTTGTAGTGTCGTTCACTGACATTCTGTGAATCTTTCAAACGAGATCAAGTTGCTTAAGTGGCGCTCACAATGGCCCATGGCCATGTTTTCAACATTAAGACATCATTTCCCTGTTAAAATCAAATGCTAACTAGGAGTCTTCTTTATTAAAAAAAAAAATCAGGTGTCCTTTTATGTGTGGCGCTATGCCTGGGTCTTCAATTCTATTCCATTCATCAACGCTTTTGTTTTTATTATTATAAATACTGTAATATTTTATTGCAACAGCATGTTGTTTTTATTGCTACAACTTTTGTATTGCAATTTGAAATCTAGGATAGTGATAGACACAAAAGGGGTGAGCACAAAATCTCACCTATGGTTAAGGAGGTGTTTGCGATCGATACCTACTGGATGAGGGAAATCGGTTTTCATCAATGTAGTGGCACTGGGCACATCAACCACACTTCAAGGCGAGCCTTGTGCTCAGGAGTAGTTGACAGACACAAAATGGTAAATGGTCTCTATGCTTTGTTTTTTGTTGTTGTTGGATTTTTTTTTGGTTCTTATTTGGTTTTGGTCTTTTAAGAGACAGAAAGAGCACAGTTGGGTGGGTAGGGTGGGAAGGAGCTGAAGGGGTGAAACTTATGAACCAAATAGATTATATGGAAAAAATTAAAAACACAAAGGTTAAACCACAAGGAGTAACCCCATGTTCACTGAGAGAGTCTGTGAGATCAAGCTGCGCAAGGGGAAGTGTCTTCACTGAAGCCACCTTCCAAAGACAGTAAGCAGCTGCTGTTTTTCTAGAAAGTTCCGAAATAGAGACAATGTGGAAATATAGACATGTGCCTACGGGCAGACACAACGGTACTTGAACCCCAAGTCTGGCATCTCATTATCATCTGACCATATGTGGGCCCCTTAACTCCTTATGGGCAATTTCCTACCTGAAAGTAGACATATTGAGGTTCCATTTTGTTCCTATGAAGATGTGGGAAGACCTTCTTATAAAACAGTTAGGAGGACTCTACAAACGGGCAAAACTATGCTTGTCTTAAGCATTCACTGGACTGTACAGAATAGGAGTCTGCAGACGGAATGACTGACTCAACCCTAACAGCAATTCATGTTCAGTTTGGGCCAGCTTCTCGTACTTGAGTTATAAACAATGTAGGCTCCACTAATGGGAAAGAGACCTCTGCTAAGTACCTGCTCCACACCAGAGGCCTGAGCTACTTGCTTATACCTCTCTTCCCATATTCTGCACATTTCATTTAACATCGGACAAAACCGGCGAGCAAGGCCACTGTTATTGCAAGATGAATGCTGAGGTGAGTCTGACAATGAATTCCACGTCCTTTCTGTTTCCACCAAAATAAAAGAAGGCTTTGGAGAAAACATTTTTATAGAATTCTGTTATGGAAATCCATATTCCTATGGAAATTTCTAGAATTGCTAAAGAGCAGTATTTGATTGGATTGAAAGATTATTCTGATTCAGATTCTCTTAATAAAGTTCAATGGGCTTGTGATTATTTCTTCTTAGAAAAAGAATAGACTAATTTGAAGCCCCTTACAACAAGCTCACGGAGGAGGACAAGCAGAGGCTCCTGACCAGGTGCTGTTTGCTGGTCATTCACTGAAAGTTGTGTTAATATAACTTGCAAGTCTTTCGCAGCATGGCTTCTTCAGACTCACAGCCTGAAGAAACCGCGGAAGGACATTCTAGAACCGTTTGAACTTGCTCCCTAATCCTATTTGGAACCAGAAAACTAGACTCAATGAAAGACAAACCTCAAGTGAACATGGAAGCAGAAAAATAATATTAAAGTCTTTTGAAAATGGTTAGAAAGAATAAGGCGGACTTAGATGGTATTACAGAAGAGAAACACACGAGGGTGCTCTAACCAGCTGTCATAATAAATTAATTAACTGTAGCTATTGGGGGAAATTGAGGTCTTATGTGGATGGCAGTGTTGAGTTGTGACTGAGCATTGACTAAACAGATACATCTTGGAACAGGTGACTTTTCTTTCAAATAGAATATATTATTCTCCCCACACACACCACCAATACTCTCATTTTAAAAAAAGTAGACGGTGTTCTTATCAGACAGTATGAAGACACTAAAAAGCAACAGAAGAAAACTCTGTACTGCCAGTCCTGGGGGACTGAGATGATCTAGCGCTGGGTCAGTTGGAAAGTTAGCTCAGTTGGAGGCTGCCTTTAAACACGAGCTCAGCCTGTTCTCATTTTGATCCCACAGACCTTCTGCTGGTGAGAAGGGGGAGTTGGTACTGGGGGGCTAATGACCCCGAGAAGAGAATTAGAGACGCATGTTTATCTCAATACATTGACTCTCATTAAAGTTCATATTCACTGACATCATGCATCTCCTTGAAAAAAATCTGCCCACCCACCATTAATTAAAGCCACATTTTAAAAAGTCAGTGTGTGCACTTTTATTCCAATCAAAAGTAGCCTCCTAAGTTTTGTGGAGTAGGCAGGAGAACATCTGAGGCCCAACAGCTGTTCACCTCTATGCAGTGAACAATCATGTGATTTACATTAAAACACTTGTTTATGTAGGACCTGGTGCAGAATAGCTAAGATCTATCGTTTTGAAGATTAGAGCTATTCAGTGTCCAATGAGCTATTATAAAAGCTTAACATATATTTTATGTTACACTCTTTTGGGTACAATGTAGCCTAACTTTCTAAAAAGAGAGATGTAGTTAAAATACCCCACTCAAATAATTAAGCAGTGTGTTCCTATCCAAGACACCACACTTTATAACGTACACGCGCTCTATCAGTGTCCAAACAAAGGCCAGTATAGATTATTTTTATCTAAATCATTGCGCAAACAGCAGTTACCAATTGGAGGATTGCACAACCCTACTCTATATTCTTGGCAGTGGTCACTATAAGCCCACAGCTTCACACGAATGAAGAATGTTAATGTTTAAGTTCAAAAAAGGCCCTGTTTGTAAACAGCTCGGGCCACACTCATCCTATTTCAAGTGCGGAGTAAGAGTCCCTTTCTTCGGCTTCTTTGAAACGAGATTTGCTCTTTTCAGGAGTGCAGTAAGGGGATTTCATCCAAACAGTTCTACCTGCTTTTCCTATGCTTTCCCCTATCAATCCCTCCTCCACGCCTTCCACGTTTTTGCTTTTTTTTTTTTTTCAAATTAATATCAGGCACATTTCATGTTTTATTGACAAAAGGCAAATTGCAGCTGTTTCTTTTGGCAATTAGATTTATCTTTTAGTGGTTTAGACCAAATATTTGTTTATCTCAGCCAGTTTCTACTTTATGACCAAAGGCAGAGATAACAACATTCTGGTTCTCTTGTCATTCTGGCCAAGCTGCCATCTGAACCGTCCTGCCTCGTTAATGCCTTGACTGATGTGGTTTGATACTAGGCAGAAGTGCCTGAGTTCTAGATCTGACCTCTGACCAATTCTTGGTGAGAACCTTGGGGGCTTCACTTTCCTTGTGCAGTAAATGGGTGTTTGAAAGGTGCTTGCAGACTAGATTCCTATGGACCAGGAATTTCATCAGGATGAAATGATAAGGGTGTTTCTTTGGCTCTCTTATGCATTCAGTAACATAAAAGGTGGGGAGGCTTTATAGTTAGTACTGGGTCTGGCTCCCAAAGAAGCCACTCAGGAGAAGCCAACTCACCAGGCTTGGTGAACTGCTTTCATGCAATATCTAGGAGAAGATGCTCTGGGCATTGGTGCCCCCCTCCAAGTGTTCACTATTCTATTGCTATTCAGGATGAAGAACTATCTGGCTGGCAGATGATACCTCCCGCCTGGACTCCACATTATCCAGAGGGATCATAAAATACTTGACTCACTCCAGTGTGTATAGCAAATGGGGTGGACTCCTTGAACTCAGCTGTGGGAAAGAAGGCAGGGCAATGGGTGGGGATGCCTCAGCCCAGTTGGTGGTACTCTGTAGAACAAGTGGCCCTGGACTGGGGGTCAGTGGGAAGGAAGCTGTGTCTACATGGCGTTTAGTCAACTCCAGGAAATCTGAAGGTAAGCTCTGTCTCAATGAGTCCCAACGCCACAGGGTCCTCAAATGAGCAGAAGAGTGGTTCCTACCTTCCTTCCAGCTCTGTTGTTGTGAAGGTTCATCAAGGCTCGGGCATCCTTCCCTTTCCTTTCCTTGGCGTCTACAAACGCACGGGCGAACTTGATCCCATAGTCAATGTTGTCGCTGCAGCCACCCCAGTCAAAGGTGCCTTTGCTGTCCTTGGCACTTCCTTTCTTCTTGGGGTCGCAGGAACAGGACTTTAACTCTCCTTGGCTACAGGCCCTGGTGATGGCAAATACAACTCCAGCTGAGGAGATGGCGTAAACAAAAGCAGATTCCCGACTACCTGAAATAAAAATGCTTTTCTTAAAAGCGGTCAGAGAGTGTCTCTTAAAGTCTTCACTTTGCAGTCACATGCTGCATCTCCTATGGTCTTCAAGGATTCTTTTCGAGATCCCAGGCTATTTCTTTAATACGAATCACTTACACTTAAAGTAGGATTTGATGCATTTAAATATCTAATGTCCAACTCCCCTTAAAGACAGAGTAGAAAAGATTAAAAAAAAATAGCCTTGCTCCTGGTTTTAGCAAGTCGCATTCACCCCAAACCCTAGATGTCCCATGAGAGTCGGACTGTCATGAGTCACTTCGTTTCTCCTTCTATAAAACAGTCTGGATTCTATAACCCTATCATTCATTCCATGGTATGGTTTAGAAGTCATCACAGCTTGGAAAAAAGCTGTCAAGACAGATACTGTTGCGTGTGACTATAGTGTTGGCTACTCCAGAGGCTGGGGTGAAAGACTTCTTGAACCCAAGACATGGAGGCCAGAGCAAACACCCTCCCACATCTCTAGGCATTACTGAAGATATTAAGGCAAATCTAACCTACAGACAGTGAAATACTGACATCAAGGAAATCTTGGCGCTAGAGTTGGAAGAGAATGCAGGCGGCCACCAGCTCCCGGCATTAATACGGGAGAGCTGGCTTGCCATCAACTTTCACGAGTAATTGGAAGATTGTTGAAGGTGATATGCAATATCCTTGGGTTGCATAGTGTGTCTAACTACTAAGGTGATTTCCCTTTCTTCTGGAACACCTGCAGTAAACATTGGTATCGGGTCAAAGACAGTGAACAGCTTTTCCTTTGGTTTTTCTGAAAAGAAACAAATTTACCACCTATAATTAGACTTGGGCAAGAACCCTTTGGGGGCTTTCGTAGACTTGTTCTTTATTAGAGAGCAGCCTACTTTCACTTCCAGGCTGAGAGGTACATATTTCAGTGCAATAACTACATTAAATTATTTTAATAATCTGTAGTAACTCATAACACAGTGTTGTGGTGGAGTGACAGATATAAGGCTCTTTGGGGGTCTGTGCGCACCTCATTTTTCAAGTGGAACTGTATTTCATTGTTATTAGCATAGCCTTTTATTAATGGTTGCTGCAGCAAATATATTAACAATCAAAATAGAGGCTGGACAAGCTAGTGCCAAGGCAAGGCAGAAAGCAGAGAACCATTCAGTGGTTCAGTCTGTCAAGAGCAGTGTGACTCTTTGAACCACACCAGCTGGGAGAACAGACCACTTTTTCACACTGAAACCTTGCTCATTTCCACTTGTCAGTCCCTGCCACAGGTTACTGGCCAAATTTGCATCGCTCGTCTCATTATTTAAAACCAGGCACTCAAATCTACACCACATTAGGTGGCACTTCCCCCAGCCTTTTAAGAATATCTCCATCCCCAACTCGAACCATCGGAAAGGGAATCAGTTCTTTTCAGGGATAATCACTTGGATGAGTGTTTGTCACAGGATGCAAGCAGTGCTCTAGACAGAGGGTTGTGAGCTCCCAGGACCTCTTTCAAAAGCTTCAATATATGCTATCAGGTTCACACATAGGTGAAGAGAAATAGAGAGGTGGCCACTAACCCGGCTTGATTTTGTCTACTGGCTTTTAGATAAATAACAGTTTCATTATATATCTAGTCTTATAGTTTTCTTATAAAAATAGAATTCCTTGCTGATAGTTGTCTGTTTTTAACATTGAAAGTCTAGTTTGGGATTTGAAGTTCAGTGTCCATATTTACAGTATCATATGTAGGAAATAATCACACATGCTTAATGTATTCGCCACTAATCTTATAGTTTGAGTAAGAAACTTTGTAAGGGAGGAAAAGCATGGAAGATGTGCATCATAGCATGTTAGGACCTCACAGTATTTTAAAAGTCGTAGACGTTTTTAAGGCACAAAATTCATTCTCAAGTGGCAGCTAAACAGTCACATTAACTTATCGACTCAACCAAAAATATAGCAATTTTCTATAATTCAAAAATTATTTCCAAAGAAAAACATCATCTCTCTAAATATATGTTATCAGTTAAACATGTTCATTAATGTCTAGATATTGCCACATTACTTTTTTGTTTTACCTCCAGATGTTGTGGGTTTATGTAAATATGGGGTAAGGATGTTAAGTGTTTTAGATGATTCGCTGAAAGGCTGTGTGTGAAATAGTAGCATGTTTTGAGATCTGGCCTTATAACAAAACAGAATTTGGTCATGGGTTTCTTAGAAACTCTGATTCCTCTTCCGGCCAGCACATCTGAAATAAAATGCTAATCTACATGGTGGTATGGAGGTTTCCTGGTGTGTTACTGTTGAAGTTGTGATCATTTGAGGACTGAAATGCACCCAGCAGTACTGGGCATGCAGTCAGGGTTTATTCGGGTTCAGAAGGCTTTACCTGGGAAGGCAAAATGATGAATTAGAGTTTCTTGAGGGTAATGGATTGGCCAACTCTTAAAAAATGTTTTCTTGTATCCTGGCTTTTCTGACCTTGTTGTCTTTTGTCCTCTCCTCTTGAAGCTTGCAAGGACGAACCCTCCAAATCCCCTTTTGTTTTTTAAGCCCATTCTAAAATTTCAGAGGTATCTACTTAAAAGACTATGTTTGGGTTTTTCACTACCTGTGAAGGAGTAAATTCCAAATGTTTTAAATAAAATTCATTCTGTTTTACTCGGGTCTCTCAGCACAGGAGGCAATTGCTCTCCACGGCTCTGTAATCACAGGAGATTTTAGTAGCAACATCATCTCCTTACAGTGGTAAGGAGATGATTGTCTTCCTAGATCACCTAAAGGGACATTTACGTTTCTAACAGAGAGTTCTTCACAACTGTAGATTGAAATGCCCCTCTAAGTAATTAACTGTGAGAAGTCTGTGGATTACTTCATTGGAATTTCATGATTATTTCCAGGATAAGCTGCCGAAGGCCAAATTCAGCCTTCCGCACACCAATGCAAAATCACCAGTGACAGTGGCAGGGAACTGGGAAGAAGCTGGCCTGCTGTGAAGAGGAGACAAACCCTGGGCTGCTTTGAGGGTTTTAAGTTTTGAGCACCTTGGCAAAGGGCTTGCTGGCACCATCTGTAGGAAGTCCCAGTAGGAAGCCCTTGTTTACCTGAGGCCAAATCAATGAGGCCTTAGGCCAAGTCAATGAGTTCAGCTTTCTCCCATTACAAGCTCCTCCCTCTCAGTGACTCTGCAGAGTGTTCTGTGAACTGATCCTCAGCTTTGGCAGAGATGCCATCTTTTGGATCATTTGTTGAAGCTGCTTCCTTTTATGCCAGTGTCATGGCTCAGCAAGAGAAGGCTGAGTTGACTCCCAGGAACGCACAGTGGAAAAAGAGAAACCAGTGTTTAAAGTTTTCTCACCTCCACATGCCCCCATCCCTGCCCCGTAATAATATTTTAAAAATTTAAATCACTTCTTTTCATTCGTGATTTAAAGGTTTTTTTTTTTTTTCACCCCTCCGTAAGCAAAAAAAGTAAGAGGTCTACAGGTTATCCAGTATAAATGGGAAGTTCCTCTAATTTAAATCACTGGAAACTCTTGATCTATTTTAATCAGGGAAAATACAGCCTGTGATGACTTGTGATGGATATTTGCAAACTCTCTTTGACAAGGCCCAGCACTAATTGATTTACTGGTGAACTAATCTAGGTGAAGTCTTAAAATTCCATGAGGCTGATATTTGCTATTATCCTTTCAAAAATCTGCGATGTCATATCGAAACTCTAAAAGGAATGCATAAGAATATAGTGCTTAAGCTAGAGAATAAAATTGCAGAGTATCACAGTAAATTAACTTTCGGGATACTCGGAGAGCGAGAGCACTACGCCCTTGGGGGATTTTCGAGACATTCATTTATGCATTTGGCCTCATAAAAGCCTAGGGCTGTGCTGATGACATGATAGGAACACCCTCTGTTAAGCATTACCAAGTGCACAGCCTGGACGATTTTCTTGGGAATGGGAGGGAGTGGGGTGGGCAGAAACAAGTGTAAAGTTCTCTGTTTCTGTCTTTCCACATCAACGGTTGTATTTCTAGTCAGATTTCCAACTAACAAACGGGCAGAGTTCTTTCTTGAGGAATGCTACTCCTGCCAGCGTAGTGGATGAATATTATTTGAAAGTAAAACTTGACTTTAACTTGTTTTCTCCAATTATCTGAGAATAGATCACTAGCTTTGAGTTACTTTCAATATTCAGACATTTGGGCTGGAGAGATGGCTCAGAGGTCAAGAGCATTGCCTGCTCTTCCAAAGGTCCTGAGTTCAAGTCCCAGCAACCACATGGTGGCTCACAACCGTCTGTAATGGGGTCTGGTGCCCTCTTCTGGCCTGCGGGCATTCACACAGAAAGAATATTGTATACATAATAAATAAATAAATAAATAAATATTTTAAAAAATATTCAAACATTTAAAGACCCTTTGTATCAAATAGAAAACACTAATTAAATCTCCCTCTAAGAGAAAAAGAAATCTCTGTATGCAGGGTCCTTAGTCCTCATTCATAAATATTCTTACTACCTAAAATGTAGCTGGAAAAGCAATAGATTCTCACTACAAGTTTACCTAGTCATTCATGTTGCAAATGAATGAAACGGGACCTACAATGGCACCATGTATCAAAGTGGGAAAAAAAAAAACAACACAGGCTAGTCTCTGCCCTTGTGGAATTTACACTCTATGGAAAATAGTGTTAAGCAGATACAGAGTGACTCCGACATGGTTAGTCAAACAAGAGGTCAAAGGTGGTAGGGTAAGATTTGTTTCTACTCACAAAATTTTCATAGTTATCTTAAGTAATAACAATAGCTTTTGGATGATCAAAAGTTTGAACATACTATCTTGATCTTCTGAAAGGCTCAAGCCTCAGAAAGACATAAAAAAAAAAGTCAAAAGAGTTCTGGGGTTGCTTCTTTCTCTCCAAAAACAAAATGTGACCCCCAAATGGTCATGCAGTGTTGATGTGATGGACAGAGCAAAGAATGAAAGAAGGGTGTCTTGCGATCCTTCAGCCCACGGTCTGTCAACCTGCGCTCCACCAAAGACACATAGACTTGAGATAGTTCTGGGCTGCTACAGCTCTCATCTCTGGAATGAGATGATGCTACCCCAAAGCACAAACTCACTGAACAGAATGCCCCTCCGCATGCACAGGGACTGTGAGCACTGGTGCAGGCAGTTGGGTGAAGGCGGGAGACTCACTTCGGAGGAGGACCCGGCCAAAGAGGCTGTGGTCTCTGTCCAGGGTATTGCAGTTCCAGCGGTGCTGGCGGAACTGGTGCTGGCACTCCGCTGTCCACTCAGCCACACCCAGGCCAATAGCGCGCATCACGTCTGGGTGTCGGTGGCACAGCTGACGCTGGCGGCTCACCAGGCCTGGCACATTGTCACACATCACCCTAGAGGAGCCACTTGAAGCTCTCATGTACCTGTGAGAAACCAACAGAAAGACAAAAGTGTTGTGAATGGAGCTTGGTGTTCCCAGGAGGTCAGCATCCAAAGCACTGTTTGAGTAAGAATTACTTTTCTCCCTGCTAAAACTAGAAGGCAAGGGCTATTTAATTTCCATTCAGTGCAGAAGCAGGCAAGGGAAAAATGACCAATGACCTGATCAAAGCTACTTCCAAATAGAGTGCCGACTGTCTCCCAGATTTGGGGCCACCAAATGATGCTTTGGAAAGGGAGGTGGAGGCAGTAGCATTGTGAAGATCAGGGCTTGAAGGGGGGCAGTGTGTTTAGGAGAACACAGAAAGAATTTCAAAGAACTCTCTGCTCTCAGGGACTGCCATATGTCTGCTTTTGGCTTTGGAGGAAGCTGACCTTTAGAAGTTCCTCACTCCCATTTGTTTGACCTAAATGTCTTCAAAACTGCCAACATCGATCCCATTAGCACCTGCTGAGATCCGAGGCTGCGTTCTTCTTACAAACATGGCATTCTTCCCACACTAAAGGGTCTTTAAAATGGTTTTATTTTCTAACTCTTTTTGGTGCTTATAGAAACTTCTTGGGGGAAAAAAATCCTTCTATTGTTATCAAGAGCACTAAATATTTGGAAGAAGCAGTCCGATAGCACCATAAAATACTTTTCAAAAAGAAACTTTAACAAAAAAATTGAATCATTATCTCCAGGCAGATGTTCTCCATTAGTCGTGAAACGTTTTGAAAGGTACCTTTCGGATAACCCAAGCTGCCACAGGGGTCTTTTGAAGTGACCAAACAAGGGGAATAGCTTCTTCTTGTATTGCCATTATTTTATATGATCATAAAATCATTATGGCTGTGACAGCTGAGAGACAACATGACAAAATGCTGGAGCAACAAATAATATTTCTACACACATAGAAACAGAAATAATCATTTTATTGAAAGAATGGTCAATCTGATAAATCATTCTTTGGTCCTGTGTTAGTAAAGGGAAGGTTAAAGTCCTCCCTGTTCAACTCCCTTAGGAAGGAGCTTTCACCCCCTTCCCTCACCCCCACCCCATTAACAACAGTGATTTGAGTGATTTGCTCTGTTTCTCTCAGGCACTTGGCTGTCTAAATAGTCACTGACTTTAGCTGAGAGTCTTACCGTTATCCAATACAAAAAGATGTGTGTGTGGGACAGCCAATCTTTCTGAACTGGTATCGGAGTACTTTGCCCTGGTAGTCTATGTACAAGAAAGTTACAGAGCTCTCAGCTCCATCTCTTTGCAAGGTCATAAAGTTGAGAGGTGGAGACGATTTCTGCATAGGCAGAGACTACACAAAACAAACATAGATCAGCATACAAAGACAGCAGCCTAGTTACGCTTTAGAAAGACAGTTTTGAGTAGGATAACATCTTGGGTACCTCAGATCTAGTAGTTTTGCATCAAAGTAATAGTTCCTACCTGGAGGCTGCCTTGTTGGGGTGAAGGACCAGGAATGTGGAAGGACGGGGAAATAATACAAAATCCCAGGCTTCAGGTACTACAACTCCAACTGCCTGGATTGATTTATCTTGAGGCAGTTTTTTTGAGGATGTTGGGGTGGGTGGTGGCTGTTGTCTTTTTCAAGGTGAATACACACACACACACACACACACACACACACACACACGCACACACACCGTCTCTACTACAGTTAGAGACCAGGCTAGCACATTTCTCAGAGGAATAAGATATTGGCTGCTTTTGCTGTCATTCAGCTGGATCCAAACAACCAAACATTAGAGCTCTCATTTGTGGGGCATGGGGGTGTTTTTGGAGTTGTCAAAGCTAAACTGGGTTTTGGAGAAAAGCAAAGGGGTTAGGCTCAGGATGCTCTGAGAAGACCGTGTTGCTCCAGAATCCACAACAACCAGGACTGGACAACAGCCAGGGAGGGTCTATGCGACCAGTAGGGTCCCCCCTTCCATCTCCAAAAATCCATCAGCACCGCGCCCATATGCGTGGACTTACCACCATGAAGAGCTGACCTCAGGAGTGAGCCAGGTCAAGAGCAGAGGGAGCCAGAGCCAGATTCCACCGAGAGGGACGTTCATATTAACCCCCTTGCGTCTACATCAGGTCAGACTCCGTGTGCGGGCGCCATGCGTGCCCGGAGCAGAAGCGCTCAGCTCCGGGAGCGCCTCGTCACGGCTGCCGGCGCCTCTGCGCCCCCGCCCCCCCGCCGCTCGCGTCTGCGGCTAGTGGTGAGACTCACTGATAAAGTTTCAAAAGACGAGCCCAGCGAGCGATAAAGGGCAGCCGGGACTGCCTCGCCCACAGCCAATTCCCCAGGCGATGCGAGCGCAGGCAGCCCCAAGCTCTGCGTGCCTCCCGCGCACCCTGTCCTTTCGGTTCCCCTCCAGGCGCAGCCAAGGAAGGGGGCGCTGCGCCGGGCGGGGCGTGGGGGGCACCAGGTTTTACAGAAGAGTGGGAGAAACGATGGCAAGAGATACCTCCGGGTGAGGAGGGGTAGAGGAGGTTGGCAAACCTCGGGGTTACCCCGAGCATCATTGAGGCAAAGACACCTTTGGGGGAAGTTCTTAGCCAAAGAGCTTCCTTCAGTGGGCTAGGGCCACCTCCGGAACATAGACTCCGCTTTGGCAAGGCTAGCAGTTTCTGGTAATCTGAAATCCCTGATCACGCAACCTTCGGAGACAGCGGGGGGCATGAGGAGATAATTGTGCCCAGGATTCAAGAAAACTAAAAATGATTTTCAACTCATTGTTTCAACTCATGGGAATTGGGGTCTGCAGTGTCTCAGTGGGCTAGGCTGAGAACGGAGAGCTTAGGCCTCGGAAATGAAGACCTTTGGCCTTGATTCCTGTGTTCCATAAACGAAGAGAGTGGAGGAGAGGAGGTGGGACCCAGAAGACCTCACACAACAGTTTCAGTCTAAGCGCCCCTGGGAAGGTGCGACTTTTGCGCACCCAGCTTCTCCCAGTGCTGTCCAGTGAGTGCAATGGATCACAGAGAGGCTCCTAGGCATCCAGGTGTCTGCTCCCTGGCTTAGGTTACATCTCCCCAGCCAGAGTGCCCCACCTGTGCGTCTGGCCAAGGAACAGTGACGCTAGATCTTGGACCTAGGTCCCCATGGAGTAGAGACGGGGCTTGGGCCCGAGGGTGGAACATCTTGAACAGCAACTGGCTTGTAGCCTCGAGGTTTATCACCGGAAAGAAAGACCAGGAACTCACAGCGACCTTGAACTGTTCCATTGCTCTTTTCCTGGGGCGGGGGTACCACCACCACCACCCAGGAGCGTGCCCGGGGAATAGGGAGTATAAAAGGGTTGTATGGTCATGTGTGTATAGGGCACGAATATTAAAAGGAAGGACAACGGTACTCCCTACCCACATCGCCCGCCCACCTCTTGGGCCGGGATCCGCCAGAACGTCAGCTATCGCCCAGCACCGAGCGGTGAGAGGCTGGACGAGGCACAGCCCAGAGATGCCAAAAACCTGAAAGATGCTGTCATCGCCCACCCCCTTCCCCCTCGCTGTCCGTGGCAGGTCCGGCCCCTCCCAGGCTGACCCAGATACATCCCCTTTTGGGTCCGGAAAGGGAGGAGAGGGAAACAAGCACCGCGCCACCCACGACTCGGGAAGAGCAGGGCTCCGCGCCAGAGCTGCTCCGTATCACTGGGCTGCGACTCAGGGGAAGTTCTGCTTCGTCTTCGCTAGGCCAGGGAGGGGGTGCGCTGCTGTTCTGAGGCTTAGGAGGAGCGCGCACGTTGGCAGGGGAGGGCTGGGATCACTCCCAACAGTATTACCACGTGCACCTCAATTTATGGTCACCAGCCTTCTTTCTGAGGGAAGCAGAGGGACAAGCTAAAATTTATCTCCACTCGCCATCGTCTCAGTTTCTGGAAGTACTGAAGTTCACTTGTAGCAGTAAATAAAATCAGGCAATACGTGTGACCTTCGGGAAGGTAGAAAGGTTACACGACAATGAAAACGTTAACTGCTTTTGAAACACCAGCTCACAAGTCCCACCCAGCACATTCTGTCCTCACAGTTCAGGGGCTGTTAGGAACACATGGAGTGTGACCATCAGTTTAGGACCCTTTCCTCTCCACCCGGGGAATTATATGGCCGGCAGACCTGCCCTTCGGTTGATCGTGAGGCCAGTGGAATGACCTAAACCTGAAACAGGCCTCCTAGAAAAGGGATGGCCCATCCATCCTCAGAGCCAATTCAGTCCTCCCCACAGAGTTTCCTGGGAGGAACACGAGGAAGCGCCACATGCCTTGCAGAGTACAAACCAGTTTTGGTCAAAGGCAAAAGGCTAAAAAAGTTCAAGAGAGGCTAAACCCAGATGTGAGAAAGGTCCACCCAAACACCCCTCCTGACCTGTCTGGAGGCAGTCTGGACCCGATGAGGATGACAGCTCTCTTCCAGATCTGACTCCACTTCTCTCCCTGCTCCACCCCTAGCCACTGAGGACCCATTATGCAGCCTCACACAGCTTCACTTCCTACCTTCCTTCTTGTGAGCAATTAGTCTCTTAAATGCTCTTGGACAGGTAGTTGGGAAATGCCCAAAGCAAGCAGGAGGAGAGGCGAGCCTTTCTGTCATCATCAGAAATGACCAAAGAAAGAAGTGTTAACCCATGGCAAGGTCGGTTTCACAGGTCACACTAGGTACGGCAGGGGTTGACAAGCAGGATCAAGCATCCTTTTAATATTTATCAACTTAAATGTTTGAGTTTTCTTCAATAAGAAATATCAGAATTGACCATAAAATTTACTACAATATGCAGAATCCGGTTTCCACCCCAATTAAAAAAAGATGAATGTCAGTCTGCTTATAACTTCAGTATAGCGTCTTAGCCAAATGAGTCAGTCTATTTTCTTAGTTAGCGCCATTGTTTGTCTAATCTCCCAGGGCAGAGAAGAGAACGAATTTACTCCCAGACCATCTCCACCCTTTGAAAATGAAGTTACTTCTTCAACTTCATACTCATTTGTCTTTCAGTCTGAGTTATTTCTTGAGGCAGTGATCTTCAATAAAACCACTTACTTTAAAAAAGGGTTTATTTTATTTTTATTATTTTAAGTTACATGTATGCGTTTGCCTGCATGTGGTATTGCACACAGCTGTAGGAAGCCTCAGAGGCCAGAGGATCAGATCGCCTGGAACTGGAGGTACAGTTATGAGCCACCTGACATTGATGCTGGGAACTGAACTCTGGTCTTTGGGAAGAGCAGCAAGTGTCTTAACCACTGAACCACATCTCTAGCCCCCATAACCGTTTCTTAACCAAAAGAAAAATCATTTAAGTCCCAGTGTGCATTTCAACAAATGATGACAAGGACTTGCTTCTAAGCCCAAGAAGTACCTGATGTTTCATACAGAAGAGAAGTACACATCTGAACAAAACTATGAGATACCTATCTCTCCCGGCACTGGGAGCAGCACACAGGGAACCCCTCAGAGAAAGGAAAACATATGATATGATCCTTACAACTATCTCATGAATGTCTTGCTTTTTTTCCTGCTGAAGATCACCCCCTTGGGGGTGTACACAAAATAGAATCCAAGAAAAGCAGGAGTCTTTGTTAATGAAGGAGAGAAGAGTTTGCGTTACAGCCCAAACTGACAAGGTAGAGAGAAAGTCTCAGCAAGAACCAAAAATTGTAAAGAGGAACCAGACAAATTTTATAATTGAAAAATATAGTCACTGAAATGCCTATTTCACCGGATAGTGAAAATCACAACATTGAAAAGACAGGAGAAACCGAAAGATAAAGCTATAAAAATACAATGCAAAAATTCTGAAAAATGACAATGACAAATATTTTATTATTACCCATTATTATGAAGAGAAAATGGAAATGATGGTATGAATGACTTCAGATTTCTCACAAATGACAAAGGGAGAGAAAATAGGAGGGACATTGTATAAAATAATGAGAATCATCAGCCTAGAGTTCTATATCCAGTGGAAATATTCTTCATGAATAAAAGTCAAATGCACATATTAGCCAGAAAGTGAAAACAAAGAGAATTCATTGTCAGAAACCCATGTGAGAACTATTGCTATAGCGGTTCTGCAAGCAGAATAGAAAGGTTGCAAAAAGAACCTGACCTGAGGAGATGTCTCAGTTGGTAAATTGCTTACTGTGCAAACATGAGGAATTTGACTTCATATTCTCAAACTTATTTAAAAATCCAGGAAAAGTAGTCATACATGTAATTATGGTAGTGCGAGATCCCTGGGTCTCGCTGCTTCACCTGTCTAGCTGCACTGGAGAGCTCCACGTTCAATGAGAGACCTATTTCAAAAAATAAGTCGGACTGTGATTGATGAAGAAATCCTCATCACCAGCCCCTGGTCTTTATACACATGTGTACTATGGTGTACATGCAATGTGCATGTGCAGGAGGGTGCACAAGAACCCAAGAACCCATGCATGAACATACACAGACACACACACACACACACACACACACACACACACACACACAAAACACCAAATATAAGAAATAAAAAGAAATTTGGATGAAGGGAAAGCAAGAGAAATGATATCTCTCTGTGTAAATATAATGGAGCTCACTAGCCTTTCCCAGATCTTTAGTATGTGTTAACAGGAAGATGCTTAGCCAGGTAAAGCCCTGACTGATGACCTGAGTTTGATCCCTGGAACCTACATAAAAGTCCTGATGTCATGGCAGTGGCATGCTTGTGTAATCTCAGCACTTCTATAGTGAGATAGGAGACAGGAGAATTGCTCAGAAACCTGTAGGCCAGCTAGCCTGATGGACAGAGTGGAGGGCAGTGGTAGGAGGAAGAGAAACCCTGCCTCAAAAGCAAGGCGAAGGCAAGAACTGGCTCTGGAAAGTTGCCCCTGGGCCTCTACACATGTTGATCACAGCACACTGTATGCACTGCAATGCCAGTCAATCAATATGTCGAAAGGTAGAAGCACAAATTATAACACTGTCAGACATGATTTATGGTGTGTGCAGAGGTAATGCATGAAAAGGAACAATTTAAAGAGGGAGGGATAATGAACTGACATGGTGACAAGGTCCTGCACTCTGCTTTAAAAACGGTAAGATGTTGACTCCAAACTCACAGCAGTAAGTGAATGTACATGACACTTTCCCCACAATAACTTCCTAAACACTACGCAAACACTCAAAAATATAGCAACTTAAAGCAAAACTTCAGATCCAAAAGGTGGTAGAAAGGGGAAACAGGGCTGAAACACAATTAGCACAAAGAAGAATCAAATACTAATATAGTAGATTTGAGTTCCAACATAAGGGTTAATTAAAACATATATAGCTCAAAGGCAACATTGTCAAGAAGTGTCAGAAACACACAAAACAACCATTTATATACTCTCTACAATAAATTCTTCCCAAGTGTTATATTTTCCAAGGTGGGCAAACAGAGGCTAGGAAAATTTACATGATG